CAATTAGATCTTTATAAAAGATATATAATATACAATTAGACCTGGCAATTTCTGACACGACCCGATAACCCGACACGACACGACACGAAATTAACAGGTGTTTGGGTCGACACGATAACGAATCGGGTCTTATCGGGTAACCCGATAAGCACCTGTTAAGATAACGGGTTGGGTCGGGTATACACGTGGGTAAACACGATACACGATAAGCAGAATATTATTTTTATAATTTTATAACCCTCAAAAAATACTGTAATAATTATATACATTAATTTTACAATTTTATACCCCTAAAAATTATAATAAATATATATATTAAATTAACTATAAAATTTATAATAATTATAATAATTATATATACTATAATAATTATACCCCCAAAATATTAAGTCTATCTATACTAATTATATATATATATATATTAAATTTTATAAAAACTATAATAATTATTAATTAATAATTTAATATGCATGATCATGCATTGCATATTTGCATGGTTTTGCATCCATTGAAATTTGATGCGTCAGGACTCAAATGTGATTTGTTTCCATTCTCAAATTTCAATAATCAATTTCTTGCCATTGCCATTTGCCAACTTGCCGCCCTTTTTGAAAAAAAATGGAGGGAAAATGAAAATGTTAAGAAAAGTTGAAAATAAAACAAAAAAGTGAGGGAATTCAATTAGGGAAAGATGTTGGAGGGAAAAGTGAAAATGATAAGAAAAAGTTGAAAAGGAAACAAAAAAGAGAGGGAAAAATGAAAATTAATAGAAGTGGTGAATCTAAGTATAAATAAACTCTAAGTGTTAGTCAATCTATCGTTTTACGAATTCTCCAAAACTAATTTCAACGATCCAAACCGTCAAAATTGTTTGTATATGCTTGGAGATCACATCAGCAAAAAATCACAAAAAAAAAACATTCAGAGATCAAGTAAACGGGACAAAGCTTTTCAACGGTTATAAATGAAAAATCACGATTTAACGGTTATTTTAACTCCGATTTTGATGATTTTTTATAACTACACTCCTTGACCCTATATGAATACAATGAATGAATTCGATATTCAATTTAAAATATTTACACAAGTGGATACCACAAAATCTTATGTTATACTTAATAAAAGTATAAATAAACTCTAAGTGTTAGTCAATCTATCGTTTTACGAATTCTCCAAAACTAATTTCAACGATCCAAACCGTCAAAATTGTTTGTATATGCTTGGAGATCACATCAGCAAAAAATCACAAAAAAAAAAACATTCAGAGATCAAGTAACGGGACAAAGCTTTTCAACGGTTATAAACGAAAAATCACGATTTAACGGTTATTTTAACTCCGATTTTGATGATTTTTTATAACTACACTCCTTGACCCTATATGAATACAATGAATGAATTCGATCTTCAATTTAAAATATTTACACAAGTGGATACCACAAAATCTTATGTTATACTTAATAAAAGTATAAATAAACTCTAAGTGTTAGTCAATCTATCGTTTTACGAATTCTCCAAAACTAATTTCAACGATCCAAACCGTCAAAATTGTTTGTATATGCTTGGAGATCACATCAGCAAAAAATCACAAAAAAAAAAACATTCAGAGATCAAGTAACGGGACAAAACTTTTCAACGGTTATAAACGAAAAATCACGATTTAACGGTTATTTTAACTCCGATTTTGATGATTTTTTATAACTACACTCCTTGACCCTATATGAATACAATGAATGAATTCGATCTTCAATTTAAAATATTTACACAAGTGGATACCACAAAATCTTATGTTATACTTAATAAAAGTATAAATAAACTCTAAGCGTTAGTCAATCTATCGTTTTACGAATTCTCCAAAACTAATTTCAACGATCCAAACCGTCAAAATTGTTTGTATATGCTTGGAGATCACATCAGCAAAAAATCACAAAAAAAAAAACATTCAGAGATCAAGTAACGGGACAAAGCTTTTCAACGGTTATAAACGAAAAATCACGATTTAACGGTTATTTTAACTCCGATTTTGATGATTTTTTATAACTACACTCCTTGAACCTATATGAATACAATGAATGAATTCGATCTTCAATTTAAAATATTTACACAAGTGGATACCACAAAATCTTATGTTATACTTAATAAAAGTATAAATAAACTCTAAGTGTTAGTCAATTTATCGTTTTACGAATTCTCCAAAACTAATTTCAACGATCCAAACCGTCAAAATTGTTTGTATATGCTTGGAGATCACATCAGCAAAAAATCACAAAAAAAAAACATTCAGAGATCAAGTAACGGGACAAAACTTTTCAACGGTTATAAACGAAAAATCACGATTTAACGGTTATTTTAACTCCGATTTTGATGATTTTTTATAACTACACTCCTTGACCCTATATGAATACAATGAATGAATTCGATCTTCAATTTAAAATATTTACACAAGTGGATACCACAAAATCTTATGTTATACTTAATAAAAGTATAAATAAACTCTAAGTGTTAGTCAATCTATCGTTTTACGAATTCTCCAAAACTAATTTCAACGATCCAAACCGTCAAAATTATTTGTATATGCTTGGAGATCACATCAGCAAAAAATCACAAAAAAAAAACATTCAGAGATCAAGTAACGGGACAAAGCTTTTCAACGGTTATAAACGAAAAATGACGATTTAACGGTTATTTTAACTCCGATTTTGATGATTTTTTATAACTACACTCCTTGACCCTATATGAATACAATGAATGAATTCGATCTTCAATTTAAAATATTTACACAAGTGGATACCACAAAATCTTATGTTATACTTAATAAAAGTATAAATAAACTCTAAGCGTTAGTCAATCTATCGTTTTACGAATTCTCCAAAACTAATTTCAACGATCCAAACTATCAAAATTGTTTGTATATGCTTGGAGATCACATCAGCAAAAAATCACATAAAAAAAACATTCAGAGATCAAGTAACGGGACAAAGCTTTTCAACGGTTATAAACGAAAAATCACGATTTAACGGTTATTTTAACTCCGATTTTGATGATTTTTTATAACTACACTCCTTGACCCTATATGAATACAATGAATGAATTCGATCTTCAATTTAAAATATTTACACAAGTGGATACCACAAAATCTTATGTTATACTTAATAAAAGTACAAATAAACTCTAAGTGTTAGTCAATCTATCGTTTTACGAATTCTCCAAAACTAATTTCAACGATCCAAACCATCAAAATTGTTTGTATATGCTTGGAGATCACATCAGCAAAAAATCACAAAAAAAAAAACATTCAGAGATCAAGTAACGGGACAAAGCTTTTCAACGGTTATAAACGAAAAATCACGATTTAACGGTTATTTTAACTCCGATTTTGATGATTTTTTATAACTACAGTCCTTGACCCTATATGAATACAATGAATGAATTCGATCTTCAATTTAAAATATTTACACAAGTGGATACCACAAAATCTTATGTTATACTTAATAAAAGTATAAATAAACTCTAAGTGTTAGTCAATCTATCGTTTTACGAATTCTCCAAAACTAATTTCAATGATCCAAACCGTCAAAATTGTTTGTATATGCTTGGAGATCACATCAGCAAAAAATCACAAAAAAAAAACATTCAGAGATCAAGTAACGGGACAAAACTTTTCAACGGTTATAAACGAAAAATCACGATTTAACGGTTATTTTAACTCCGATTTTGATGATTTTTTATAACTACAGTCCTTGACCCTATATGAATACAATGAATGAATTCGATCTTCAATTTAAAATATTTACACAAGTGGATACCACAAAATCTTATGTTATACTTAATAAAAGTATAAATAAACTCTAAGTGTTAGTCAATCTTAAAAACAAAAACTCTTTATCCTTGCACATTTAATATTTGTAATAGATTAGTAGTGTATGTATTATTTTTTTTATTAGGCTTTCATTTTCGAGTGTAGATATAGTACTTGAACGAGAAATGTTTTAATGTTTTCAAGTAATATTTATGTCGCAATGTGTGGTATGTGCAAATTTTAAAAAAAAATATTTTTTTCTTAACGGGTCATAACGGGTCGGGTCACTTTACCCGTTGGGTAAAGTGACACGACCTGTTAAGGACCCGTTAAGATAACGGGTGTGACACGACACGACCCGTTAAGATAACAGGTGTTACACGAAAACGACACGAACACGACAGACACGACCCGTTTGCCAGGTCTATATACAATGTCGTTGTTGTTCCCAGTAGACGACCAAAATTAAGGGCACCATTGATATTTAGGACTTGATATGCGCTGGTCAGCTTTAATTTTTGCACGTGACCATTAAAGTATAGGCACTAACCTTTTATCTTATCCCGCATCTGACTTCCAATAAGCTCAATGGGTAGCCACGGCCGGCCCGTCAAAAGCTTCATTGGGCCGGCTGCTTCGTTATGTGTCGTGTTTCTCTTGTTTACATGTTACACATTTACATACCTCAACCCACTCTTGACGTTGATTCTAATGATTCTAATATTATACGCGTCAACTCTACTCCACACTTGACCAAGAGATTTGAATCCTCTTGACCAAGACGTCAAATCCTTCAGTGTCCACGCACGCTGGGCCTGGACATTCTTCAGTGTCCATCCTAAGTGGCAACAATTTCCGAGGGCCCGTACCATCTGCCGTTGGAAATCTCTCCAGGCTCACAACTTTGGACTTAGGCAGCAACTTTTATGAAGAGACTCATAACCAATTCTCTAGCCCAATTTTGGATAACATAGGTTTGACTAGAATTTGTACCCGCATTGTTGCGGAATTGAAAACTATATAAAAGATTATGCAATATTAATTTTCATAAATAATGTTTGAGTCAAAAACTAAGTTACCAATGCCAATGTAAATTATACACAACCTCATCATGAATGAAAAAAATTTAAATATCAAAAGAGAAACCTATTTCGTCTATTAAAAACATTACAAAGTTCTTTGGATACGGAAAAACACAAATTGCTTCCTGTCCAAAAATATTAATGGGAAATGTTGTTTACTGCAACACTAAAAGTTGTCCTTTGCTATGTTGGTCATTAAGGAAGCATCCCAGGCAAGGGGAAAAAAAGTGAAATAAATTTATATAGTAGAATTATATCATGAACAAACTAAGGATAAAGAGTGTTTACCTAGTGTTTTTGTGTGCAGAAATAAGTCTGATTTTGCACGAAATGGAGATGACCTTCTCTTGCAATTCTATAAGACGCAGTCAAATTTTTGTGCATTTCCAACTTGCCATGCAACCAAGTTTCTACAAAAACAGATCAAATTCAAGAAAGTAATTAGACCAAGGCATAAGAGATTATAAGAAAAAAGTATAGAAAATATAAACCACATATACCACTTATTATACTACTTTGTATTCCGAATACACCTAAAAATATATCGATTTCTAGTGAATGGTTCATTTCCAATTAATTCCACTCTAGTTTCTTTCTAACCCTTCAACTTATCCTTGACTTATTTTTTTTAACGGCATCACAATTAAGAGTTAGCTTCCATCAAATCCTTCAACCAATCCCACCCATACCTCTCTAACCCTTCATAATCCGAATTTTACTCTCTTAAACCCTTTAACCTAACCTTGACTTTGTTTTTATAGCTTAGTTTCATTTAAAAGCTTATTTTCTCTACAAAATCATAATAGTTTCCATCTTACATCACATTTTAAACTCTTGATAACATTAATTTCCATCTCAAATCAGAATGAACCTCCAAAGTTAGAAATATGAGTAAAAAAAATGTTTAGTAAAAGAATTTGCCAATTCTAATTGAGAACTGTTAATCAAACTGTAAAAGCAACATATGAGTTTTTCCCAACTTCAAACAGAGAACCAACAGCAAGAATAAAATTGGAAATGGAAGAGACCAAACAGACCATGAAGATTACACAATCAGAAGATGATATATTTGAAGAAGAAGAGTTCATTACATAGTGTGATGACAGCCGATCAGCAGCAGAAACTGAGAAGAGCGAAGAACTTGGCCTCAGATTTTCTCCATAATAATTGAAAAAATAAATAAACTTAACATGTAGGAACGATGCTGTTATTTTCTCCAGACAATAAACATCATCTCTTAAAATATTAAAAATAATGTATGTGCATTTCATTCATATTTCTATTCACATCATAAACGTAAACCTCAAAACACAACTCATGGAACAACTTTTCTTACTAAACCCTAGAACACATTTTAAAAATTTTAAAATAGTTCTCATCTTTTGTTTTCTTTGCTAAATTCATTCATGCGTTTCTTAAATTTAAATTCAGTTTATAAATTTTCAAATCAATCTTTAGAAAGTAATCTTTTATGTAATTATTTAAAATATGTTGTATAAAACATACTTATTGCTTCCACTTAAGAAAACTGATAACACAAAATGAATTAAACTGGAGGGTTAAAGTAAGTTCTCTTACCAAATAACTGAAGCCAAATTAGCACAAAAGCATATCAACGTTGCATTGTCACAGGTACAACATTAGCAACGTTTCTTTACTGATTCAAACATAAACATGAATCAATTAAAAGCGTTAAAAAATGAAATAACACTTCAATCAAGCGCATAAACAAAAGCAAACGTTAGGCGTTGGAAAATAACATTGGGAAAAAAGCTATGTTAAATATTGTAGGTATTATATTTACAATTAATCTCTATTTTTAATAAATGAAAATATATTAAAATTCATAATAATATGCATAAACATTTTATTTCCTCAATCTCTCTGTTGGTAAACCTCTTTGTCCACCACAGTAAATGGTAAAGCTCTGCAATCAAAGCTAAAAAAAAGCATCGAAAAACCACACTTAACCCCCACGCTGCTCAAAGATTTCATCTTTGTCATCAAATCTCATCAGAAAGCTACTGATATCACATCAATACTACCCAAAAAAATATAAATAAAAAGCAAGCTCAAAGATTTCATCTTTGTCATCAAATCTCATAATAAAGCTACTGATTCATCATTCATCATTCATCATTCATGACCTCCATGACGAAATCTTGGGCACCATCTGAAAAAGCCAGAGAAACCAGACTGACTAGTGGTTCTTGGGCGGAGGAGGAGGTGGAGAGAAGCAGGGAAACACCTAGGATTGATGCAGGGAGAAAAGCACACAAAAACAGAGGAAGAGAAAAGGAAAAGTGACGGAAGAAAATGGAAGAGCCGTCGAGCACCTTCCCCACCAAAAACGAAAAGAGCGGGTGGATAACTGTTGGAATCAGATTAACATGTCGACATTGCTTAGAAGCTAACGGACACGTGGGTACCGATGAGGGAAGAGAATGGGAAGGCTGAACAGCACAAATGAAACGCGTGGCCAAAAAGGGTAAATCCGCCACTTCGCTGTATAGAAACGGAAAAAATAGAGCTCCAAAGAGTAATTGGAGGAAAATTTCGGTAGTTCACTGTTATGAACAGTATTTTTACGTTGTGAAGTATATGTATAATTTATGGTCTTCAATTTATTGACCTGAGTGTGAATTCTCTGGGAGGGAAAATTCCACCCTCTATAGGCTAACTCATGGAGCTCCGGTACCTTGATCTTTCATTCAACTCTGTAAATTCTTCAATCCCTTCCGAGCTCGATCTTTGGACAGACCTCATAGGCTAACTCATGAAGAACACGCGCTGCGAATCCGCATAGCTAGTTATCCAATCTTCATCTTCTTCTTCACCGCCTTTTCGCTTTCCATCAAAATGGGAAGCCACCCATTTGAGAGCAGCCCATGAATCGTCGTAGGCAGCTGGGATTGGGTGCTCCGGGGCAAGCCTGTACTCAACAGAGACGGCAACAACATTGACCTCGGAGACTAAGGAATTAAGGTAGTTGTGATACGTGGGGGAGGAGGCGCTTTGGATGCAGAAGCCACCGCCGTGAAAGTAAACAAGAAGAGGGAGTTTGGTGGCAGCGGATTTGGGGATGTAGAGCCTTACAGATATTGCTGGTTGTTGGGAGATGACAATGTCTTTGGATTGCACTCCGGTTTCGGGTTGTGTTGATGGAGGAACTGTGGCTGTGCCTAGGAGTCTCTCGACTCGACCGTCTTTGTATACTTTGATCATTGGAGAAAAGTCATAAGACAGTTCTTCGTTGCTCATGTTTTGGATTTTCAACTTCAATGAAGAAAGTAGAAGAATAAGAAACAGCTATGGAGGCCTCTCTCACTGTTCTTATGCTGCCGACAGCCTCATGCATTATTAGTTTTAACAGGACGTAGGCCATGGAATTTCAACGGACACAGTTGCCACAGCTGTCAAAGAAGAAAGATACGATGCTAGCTAGCCAGACAGATTCAACAACCCTGGATAGCACACAGCTCTAGTGAAATTTTATCACCTTAATTTTGGATCACATAACAATCTCATACTTCATCTTTTAAATATTATAATGTTACACATCAACTTACAAAATCGTTATAATACCAAACATCCGTTAAATTTTCTATCAATTTAACTATTAAATGATAACGTGGTAAATATAAGGTTCACATTTACAATGACCTGGATGCCCATTATGCACCATGGGAATAAAAAACAAATAAAAAATTTAATTCATAAATTTTTTGTTTTTGTTTAATAAAAGCTTTTAAAGTAAGGGAAAAAAACGTGGAGGTTCATCCCTTCCTCTCTCCCGTCCCTCGCCTCGCCGCTCTTCCTCTCCCCTGTCCCACCATAGCCACCGAACACATACAGCAACCGCACAAAAAATCCAATTGGGGTGAGAGTAGGCTCTGAGGGGCTGGTTGGTGTTAAGCTGATTGGGGTTGTGTTGATCGATCCATATTTCTGGGGGAAGATCCAATTGGGGGAGAGATCACCGCCCCTGCAGCTAAAAGAGAGTTTATTGCTGCATTGTGGCGTTTTACCTACCCGTCGACTATTGGATCCGATGACCCGCTTTCAACCCTGAAAAGGATCCAAAATTTGGGGAATTGGGGTGTGGGAAAGTGCTGGTTTTTGTTGCTGAGTTAGATGTGTTGAAAGACAAGGGATGGTACTATGGGGAGGCGCCGAGAGGGAGTGGATGGAATGGAGTTGTGAAGGTGATAGAAGCAAAGGGGGAGGACCATGTTTACCATTTGTCCGATCCTACCTGTGAGAATGCTGTGCCCATGCAGAAAAGATAGTCTCGTTCTTGAACTAGTGTTTGTGGTTTTTCCCTTGTTGTAATCCGTTTTATGACTTATATTACAACCTACTAAATTCCTATTCATACCATATTTTTGTACTATATTTTATATCATCTTAGGTAACATTTGATGTGGACAGTTACATTATTTGAATTAATCAAATTTTTAAATTTAGTTCATTATTTAATAAACTAATAATTAAGAAAAACTAGTTAATTAAATAATGATTGTGGTATAAGAGGAGTCTTTCTCCTTCATTTCCTTGGATTTTGCAAATTTTTCAAATGATGTGGTATAAAAACATGGTATGAATAACATTACTCTATGTTTTATAAGCTTTATGTATGTTTTCTTGAACAATATTCTCATAATCTCAATTAATTTTTCGATTACCATTGAAAGACCATTCATGTAAAAATTTACTGAAAGCAAAAATCGTTTAGTTATCTAATTGTGACATGACAATTAAATAAATGAAGACAGATTTATCAATACCATATATATAACTTTGTGTTCTAATGTTAAATTTGAACCTATCAAATTTGGTGTAAATTATAACATTCATTGATTATTTACAGAATGGTGTGAAGGATCCTTATCCTTATAAGGCGGACGCAATGAGAATACAACATCATAAATCCTATAAATGAACAGTGTTTCGGGGTGGATTTCACTTTATTTACAAAATTGCCACCAACCCTTTGGTGCCATTCAGATTGGTAATTTCTATTTATTAACGAAATTGCCACCGCTTTGCACAGTAGAAGGGCGCCCACTCGTCAATCATCGTGGATTGCTCTGCTTCGACTCCTTTGTCCCGTCCGTTTCCATTCCCTATTCTTTCCCTCTTTTTCTCTCCCGACTCTCTCTCGCCCGCTCACCATCTCACTCCGGGCAGTACATGCATGAACTAGATGAGAAGGCACCATCTCTTATGTGCAAAGCGAAGAAGAACTCAGCAGATTGTATGTCACTCCTCCCCAATATTTTCTGTTTGTTTTCTTCAATTATTTGTTTTTGAGTTTGTTTCTTTCCCGAGAATAAGAAGAAAGAAACAGGAAAAATATAATATTGGACAGTTAATTATTTATCTTGGAGTGTTATATTTATTCAAGGCATCCAAGAGAATTAGGTACTTAATTGATTGATTACCTGATTGAATTTTTTTGATTTCTCCAAAAGATTTTTTTTTTTTTTTCCTGGGGCTTGCACTCAATTTTCATTTAATTTAATTTTTTGGGTATTATAGAAAATTAAGTATATAGTTTGCCGTTATAGTTTGGTCCTTTTTATGCCGTAGATAGTAGAAAAATGACCAAAAGTAGCTTCATGCAAGCACATGAGTTTGGTAAGCTTTGGTGTTCATGCTTTGTGTATAGTCTACTGAATTTATATCAGTTTCAGAATTTATAATTGTGATGTTTATAAGTCTACGGATTCAGTTGCATAATTGTGCGGCATCTTTTACATGCAGAGAAGAGACGTGCTGAGTCTCACTCCGGCATTCAGCCCTCCGTTCCTCTCATGATCTCTCACACCCTCTCTCTAATTTCAGAACAATATGAAGCAGCTCAAGCTCTCTGTGCATTGAATCAATGGCAGTCATCTAGAGGTGATTTTTCTTTGCCTTTTTGTTGGGTTAGTGGATTATTTGCTTAATTTGGGTAGTGAAGGTTCCGTTTTGGCTTAATTTCGATTTTCAACTCTAATAATATATTGGGTTTTAGGGATTTCTTCTTAGTGATCATCTTCATATTCGATTGGTGATTTGGCATGTGGATTGTCTACTTCTTTGATGAAAACGCTCACCGTTGGAACTAATATAGGTTTCTCATATTTCTTGCACCATTTGTGAGGGATTTAATTTTCCTTTTCTGGGTTTTCTTATACTCAAGGTACGGTTTACATTCTGGAATTCATGATTCAATTGGAAACCACAATGACATATCAACGTGTGTTGGATATTCATACGAAACAAGTAAGCTCTTATTTACCATTCTGCTTTCATTGACATTGGATTCTGATTCACCTTCTAAATGCGGATTATATGATCGTTATAGTGGAAACCAGTGAACTTATAGGCTTAATGGGCTTACAATAAGCTAATAGTGCTATATTTTCCCTCTCCCTATATGTAGTTTAATATAATTGAACAAGTTCAAAGAGAATGATCAGAATGAAGGTTTGTATTAGATCCGATGTGCTTCCTCTTTCTATGCATTTTGGTTCAAATTAGGGTTTTAGGTCGAAACCTGAAACGAAAAGAGAATAAAATTTGAAGGATCTTCGGATTTTGTGTTTGGATGAGAGGAAAAGATGAGAAATTTGTTAAGAAAAGTTGGTTGTGGTGAAATTTCATTCTTTAAAATCCATCAGATTATGCTTAAATTGTTAAATGTAGTTGTTATTGTTAGCTAATTCATGTTTTTAGTCTTAAATTAAATTTATTGTTTCCCTTGCTTGATTATACTTGCAGCAACTAATCCTGGAAGTTTCAATAACAGCGTCGCTGGCCAGCAGGTGAATACTAAGCAAATTTTATCTAGCATTGAACCATTTCTTAAGATCTGATTCAATTTTATTTAAGGAATTTGAAACCTGTACCTTGAACCATTTCTTATCATAATTCATGGGTTGCTAGCGCAAATATAGTGCAATCTAATGTTTTGATGCATACTTGATTCGGTCTCAAATGCGATATGTTGTAATTCTTTCTAATTTCATTGTTTACCTATCTTTGTGTGGATCAGGCGGTACTAGAAACAGTTGCAAGAGTAAAGTCGAAGAAAAATTAGACGAAAGATGAAAAGTACATGCTTCTAACTTAAATTCAGTTCAGTATTTCATATATTCTTTGTCAATTGAATCTAGCCATTATGGCCTGTTCTCACCAACTATGTTGTAGTATAAATTGGTCGTTTCAACTACATGATGTTTTCAATCTGGATAATGATAATAGAGGAGAAGATACACCAACACTGATTGATCACAATGTGAAATTGCTTCATGAAAAATATAATTGCTCCGGTTATTTATCTCAACAGTCCTAAATGTAACTTTGTTATTAATATTTTTAGGACAATGTCTTCATAATATCAAATTTTAAATCAAAATATCCAGTACTGCAGCTAGACTTGAGGTAAACTTACTGGCTCATTACAGTTTCGTTAAGTTCATTGGTCTTCTCTTAACAAAAAATGCTGATTTTGAACTCATCTACTGGTTTCATTGTAGATTAATATCAGATTTGGTGGTCATTATTGTATCTGCAACCTGTGGTGGCATTGCCTTTGCTTGCGCTGGACAACCGATATGATACATACATTCATAAGTACATACGCGTGTACATATATTTCCAAACTTCTTGAACTTATTGAACTTATAGAGAAAACTTAATGCTATGATCTTACTTAATGTTCATATTCTGCTTCCTTCATACCAAAACTTGACATGTTATTAGTGAATATTTGCTAGCTGGATACATTATGGACCTTGGAGGTTTCAACTTCTTCAGTGAAATGGTTCAAGTATGTTTTACCCTGCACTTTTATTATCCAAGAAGAAATTCTTCAAATCCAAAAGCGTGCTTATATATATTCAGGGTATGGTTGCTTCCTCCTCCAAAACCAAAAGTGTACTTATATATATAAGCAACAGGAAGAATTGCTCAGATACCAGTAAGTGAGGCTTTTTAAGTCGTATTATAAATGCACTGGCCAAGCCTATTGATGGTTGGGGTGACTTGCCGCATATGAAATTGAGCACAATTTTGCATAGCCCACTTGTTTCTCGAGAAGAGATGGGAAACATGCTCAATTTTCATGCCTTTGATGTTTTGGTTCTTTCTGAACCTAGAATTAGTGTATCCAAAGCTTTGGACGTTGTCAAGACTTTGGGCTTTTCTGGTAGCTTCATAGTTGATTTTTCTATGTGTGTGTCTATATATATATGGGTTTGATTACAAAATTCTGTAGATTGAAAATTGATACTTTATGTTGTCATTTACTTGGTACAAGAAGATTTTTTATTTTGAAAATGAAAGGTGCACTATACTTGGAACAAAATTCTTCAGACTGTTGGGGTGTGCCTATGGATGCTAACTTGGTTCATAGAGACTGTTTTGCATTGCTTCTTTTGTTACTACGTTATATGATATGGAGGACATAATTTTTTTATTTATCATTTTGAAAGTTTTCTGGACCCCTGATTTTTGAACGTGCAAGTCATCAAGAGAAAATCCAGAATGTAAGCTCAGCTCAAGAAGGTTTATATTTTTGCAAGTCCATTTTTCTTTTGCTAATGTCAATTATTTGTCTCTCAAAGGGAAAGATACCTGACATATGACGTTTCTTTCAATCGTTTTGCCTTTTTTGTTTACTGAGAAACATATGAAATTAGGAGGAAGGTTATGTTCTTCTGTGTCGTTAGTCTACGGCAAGCGAATTGGGATCGGTCTCAAAGAGCTCTGCATGTTTACCGTTTCCAAGGTACGGTGTTCATCGATCTCAACTTTTAATTTATTTCACATTTTATTTATTTATTATAGTTTTGGGTTTGTAAAAACCCTTGATTGAATCGGGTGCTGGTATGGTCCCTTACAGGAGAAAAAAGTTTTATTGTTTTCCTTAAAATTTTAGTCTTTGTTAATTTATTTTTATTTTTTTCACAAAGGAACTTAGGTGGTAGCTGTATTACTAATTAGCTACAGAAGTTATATATTCTTATGAGTATGGTATAGATGCAGGTTTGCTATGTTGCTTTTTGGGATGAAAATACTTTAAATATAGAGGAAAAATTGATTGATATTGGGTTGTACGCAGAAATCTAAACACTTTGTTGCTGAAGGCTCTACGAGGCATACAGACTGTTGGGAGATTTGGACATTATATTCTCTATCTGCTGCTATTTTATTACTTTTTTTTATTCTTGGAATTACATTACAAGTATATAACTGTATGAACACTTTGGGATGCAGGGCTATTATAATCGAATTAGATGTGGCAAGCCATACACGAATCATTTGAGATGCAGGGCTATTATAATCGAATTAGATGTGATGAGCCATACACAAATCATTCAAAATTTCTGCACTTTTTTGTTTCTATATATGCCGTTTGGCTATAAAATTTGTGATTACATGCTCAGATAAAATTTCACATCGAGATTTCAAACATTGTACTGCATTATGGATAAGAACAAAAATTGACCTTCTAAAACATATGTAAAGTTATACCTTCCGGATACAAACTGTCCAGGTAAATAAAATCTTTTACTGTCAAGTCTTAGTAATTCTAGTATAACTAATTAATATGTCTTTTTCTGGGTTTGTCTGCCATGTGTGTTATGATTTGTTCTAGCTAATGGACTATCTAAAAATGTTATGGTTTTCATAGCGGTATTTACGTAGTCTGTCTCTCTCAACTGGGTTTTCTCTGTCGTTGGCCCAATTCATTCTGCTGCAGATTGTTCCCATTTTTCACTTTCTTTGAGGTAAAAGCTCAAATCTGTGTATTTTTGTGGTCGACAAGTTGGTAGGGCAAATTGTACTTTGCTCTGCATATGAGCAATGTCTAAGTTTTACCTATTTTGATAATGCTTGGTATGTACTTCTTGATTTTTAATTTGGTTTTTGTGTATTGAGTTGGATAGACAGTTCATAGGTTTGGTTCCATAATTATTCGGAGAAGAAAAATACAAAGAGGACAACACAATAACCCTAGCACGATTATGTATGGAATGAATTAAATCTATTAAAGAATTATATTTTGGATGTGTTGTTAGGAAGAAACACCAACACTCCAAATATTTATGAATTTGATTCCTTATAAAATAGGTTAATTGTATGGGTTACTTCTTTTAGCACTAAATTTTTGTTAAATTTCATTTTTGTTTAGTTTTTGACTTTCCTTTGGGAGGACTTTTAATTAAGCATGCATCTTTGGTGTAATACAATTATATTCTTGAGGTCTGGATTTTTTTCTCTTTACTTTTCTGCCCATTATGATCTAACGGAAGACGTGGCACAGAACCGAGCGCAATGGCGTTCTAGCCTTCATTCAGCTGACCCCACTTAGTGGGAAAAGGCTTTGTTGTTGTTGTTGTACTTTTATGCCCATTATATGTTTGAGTATCTATCTTTTGGCTTATTATCAATGAAAAATTATTATATGAGGATTTTGACTATTGACTTATCAATGGTATATTTACTAAGGTTAGTTTAAGAGAGGATAAAAAATTTGTTTTCACAGATGAAATTAATCAAATGTCCCAGGCTCTACAGTTCAATTCTCTCGGTATGCACTATGGACATTATTCAAGAAATTGATGGTTGTTTTAGCATAGTGAGATTGCTGTTGTACGGTTGAAGGATTATGCTTTTAGTTTTCTCTTTCATTAGTTCAATGCTAGAAATACGGATTTGCATTTTCTTGATTTGAATTTGTTTTAGCATAGTGAGATTTCCGTTGTACGGTTAAAGGATTATGCTTTTAGTTTTCTCTTTGATCAGTTAAATGCTAGAAATACGGATTTGCATTTTCTTTACTTGAATTTGAGTATTTTTTTTTTTCTTTCTCAATTCTACCACAGAGATAAGTATAAAAGTTCTAGGAAGAGATTGAAATTGGTGAAATGCTCACTGAGGCTGGTAAGGAATTGAAATTGGAAATTATGAAGCGACAGCTTTTATTTGACTTTGATTTGGGTGTTAAGTCATTGGATGGAAATTTTATTGCAGTTATCTTGACACTATATGCTGCGAGTATCTTGACACACTATAATAGGTCTTCTTTTTGGCAAGTTTGTGTTTCTTATTCGCATTCATGATTCTATAATCATTTACATTTGCTTTTGCATGATATCTCATAAATTTGATGTGAATATATTTATTGTATTTTAACCTTTTTAGCCAAGCAAATGATTTGATTGATAACTTAAAGTCGATTTCTTTTTCTTTATGTCTACATATTACAGGGGCAACGAGGATGGGGTTTGAAGTCGAACGCTTGCATGGGACAGATTCCAAGATTATTTAGTAAGTCACTGATTAAGTCAGATTAAACTGCCTTCATTTCGTTTTGTGTCCATGGTCTAATTTTACTTGGATGATTTAATTCTATCGGATGATTTCTACTGGGTTTTTTTTTTCCATTTTGTACTTTAAATATGTTTAAGGTTGAAGGAGTCAATGATGGAATTCTGGATGCCAAAGAGAAGAAGCCTGGTATTGTTTCTTCTTTCTTTTTGAGTGAGCATCTCTTTCTTTTCTTCGAATTTTGCTTCTTTCTTTTTGTTGTCGAATGTTTCAAAATTTCAACTCAAAGTTCGTGTGCATTGTTGAGGAGTGTATTTTGCCATTACTAGGCCATTATTCTTTCTTTTCAGTAATTGTTTCTTTATTTTTTTCGTATTATTTTTTGCAAAACCTAATCATCATAGCAAAGCTTTTTCAAACAATTTTTTTTAAATGTGTTGCGAAATGAATGATGCGAGAAAAAAATACAATGCGAGTATCTTTGCACGCTATAACTGGTTTTCTTTTTGGCAAGTTTGTGTTTCTCATTCGCATTCATGATTCCATTATCATTTACATTTGCTTCTGCATGATTTCTCATAAATTGGATATCATTGTATTTACTGTATTTTAACCATTTTATCGAAGCAAATGATTTCATTGAACAGATCCATCAGTTACATGCTGCAAGTGTACGATGGCGAAGGCATTACGGTGCTTTCAAATGATCACTTTTTTTTTTTAGGGTTTTTGACAGATTACATTAAATTTTATTATTGTTTATTTGATGAAGTTCTCGATTAAGAGCAGCTGCACTTGCATTTTTGTTCAGGACTAGCAACTGTAATAGTAAATAGTACAGTGTGACAGATTCTCTTATTTACGTCTGAATATGAACAGTTTATTGTATCATATAGGAAAGAGGAAAAGAAAATATGAGTCTCGAATATTGTTTAGGTGAGGTGTTCTGTTTGTGTGAAAATATTTGAGTCTCGAATATTTTAAGCATTGTGTCAACAACTTGAGATGGTTGTAAAACAGTGCATGTAGCGTTGATGCCTTTTACTTTACATGCATATTTGTTTCATTCGAACTAAACTTGCAGTGTACATATTTATGCAAAAGATAAGACCTTTGGAGCCTGATACTCTTTGTTAGAATTTCTGTTACAAAATTAGGGAGGGATCCTGTCCATTTATGCTTCTATTTAGTAATATTGGGGTGGTAAAGATTTCTAGGGTGTTTTTTGGGTTGTTTTCAAACTGCATTCCTTTCTTGCAAGACGACATTAAGAGGCATTTTTTCAGTCATACATTATGGCAGCACTTCGTTTTGATTTGTAAACAAACTATATGCTTTATCTTTGTCTTGGAGTGGTCTGGTTACTTGAAACTATAAGTACAATATTAAGGACATAATACGATCTGCAAATGAATGTTTCTTATAGCATGGATATCCATGTATAGCAAGCAAAGTATCACTTCATTGGTTCTTACGTACTGTACTGTCATTTCAGTTACTTTGTGTAGAAATTATTCATGCATGTTTCAAGTCCCGATTAATGCATTCAATCCCCGCAGCAAAGTGCGGGTACATTTTCTAGTGGTCCTTGATAGAGAGATAATTACAATCACAATATCAATGACGACAAATAGGAAAATCAAACCAAAAAAGAAAGTATCTCGATAGAACACTTGTGGGTAACTGGTTATTCATGCAAGTACGAATTCCACATTACCAAACACAATTTGCAACACTCTGTAGTAATCAGGGTGGTGCAGATATCAATTACATGTTTATGAAGTTTGTTGTAAACATCAAGAAAAAAATTAAAAAAAATAAAATTCCACAACTTCTTATTTGATAGACTGCTTGCAGCAAGAATTCTAATGTGAAGTTGGAGCTACATGTTCTCTATTTTCTTCTAGTTTTGAAGGGCCAATAGCTTGTTGATGGTAAGCATACCAAATGGCTCAGGAAGGCAAGGAAGACTCTGAGCTGATAGATTTTGTGACACAAAATGCATTGTTGGACGCAACCCAGGACGCGTCCGTATACAAGCCAGTGCTATACTCATTACAAGCACCACTGCCTTTGCCAATTCATTGGCTGGAGGCTCTAGTCGTTGATCTAACACATCTTTCAGAAGCAAGTCTGCATTTCCTTTCATTGACGTTGATGATTCTAATAGCTGGGACTCTAGCATATCCCTGGGGTGCCTTCCCATCATGACTTCTAGTGCCACCACTCCGAAGCTATAAACATCACACTTGTCCGTCACCTGCATAATATATGCAAGCTCTGCGTATAAAGAGGACAAAATATGTCAACTCTACAAAAGATAGTACAAAGTTGCACAACATTAAAATTTTTACATTACCTGGGGCCATGTATCCTAGCGTACCAACAATGTTGGTCCAGTTGGATGAATCAATACTCAATAGTTTTGCTGTTCCAAAATCTGAGAGTCGGGGCTCAAAATCCTGCTCAAGCAATACATTATTGACAGTTACATCACGATGCACAATTGGTGGTGAGCAATCATGGTGCAGATAAGAAAGTGCATGAGCAAGTCCTTGCACAATTTTTACCCTTGTTGGCCAGCCAAGTTCAGTAACCCCTTCTACCCCATACAATGCTTTTCCGAGGCTGCCTCTCTCTAAGTATTCATAAAGCAAGAATATGCAACCCTTCCTTGTAGAGAAGCCATATAGTCTTATGACGTTTCGATGCCGGATAGTTGTCAAAGTTTGGATTTCATTCTGAAAACTTTGAAGATTGATCGCTGGAACGTCATTAGAGTCGTCCGTGTTAAGCCTCTTAACTGCAACAACTTGGCCTGATTGGAGCTCTGCCTTGTAAACCTTTCCAAAACCTCCTTTGCCAATGCAGTATTTCTCATGAAAGTCATCTACAGCCTTCACAACTTCTGCAAACGTAAATTTTACTTCCTCTTGCAATATCATGGCTTCAAAACTCTCAAAGTTTTGAGAAGTTTTGATTACCTGAGGCCGGATCGTGGACTTCTTGCGAAACATAAGAAAGAAAAAAATGGCAATTGCAACAGTTGCGAAACCGCAAAAGGAATAAAGGATAATGGATACTTTATTCTTGTTAGCCCTTTTGGAATGTGTACTGGAAGACTTAAATTCAGTTCGTCCATCTGCATGACTCCACAAGCCATAGGTTACCAACAAAAGCACTTGTTGGCGCCTTTTCGAAAATGCCACGGGTTGGTAATGGCCCTGTCAAGTTGTTATACGAAAAGTCATACCTACTTAGATTTGACATGTCAGCTAATGCTAATGGGATTTCGCCTGAGAGATGATTGCGTGAGGCATTGAAAACCTCTAATCTTGTGAGCATGTGCAATCCTAATGGTATTGCACCCGATAGTGAATTGCTGCTGAGATCCATGTAGACCAAACCTGTTAAGCCTACGGCGAGAAACAGATGAGTTGGTACTACCCCTGTCAAATTGTTATTAGACAATGAAAGAAGCTTGAGGTCCAACATACCTGAAATCCGTGGGATCACTCCTGTGAAGTTGTTAGCAGACAAATCGAGTTCACGAAGGCGAGATAAATTGCCTAGACTCTGAGGAATCTCTCCTGTCAAGTGGTTATTGTGGAAAGAGAGTCCTGAAGTTGAGTCAATTTGCCTCGACTATGAGGAATCAGAATCTCTCCTGTCAAGTGGTTATTGTGGAAAGAGAGTTCCTGAAGTTGAGTCAATTTTCCTAGACTCTGAGGAATCTCTCCTGTCAATTGGTTATGGGACAAATGCAGTTGCTGAAGCAGAGTCAATTTGCCTAGACTCTGAGGAATCTCTTCTGTCAAGTGGTTATCGGACAAATGGAGTCTCTCAAGCTGGGTCAATTTGCCTAGACTCTGAGGAATCTCTCCCGTCAAGTGGTTATAGGACAAATAGAGTCCCTGAAGCAGAGTCAATTTGCCTAGACTCTGGGGAATCTCTCCTGTCAAGTGGTTCTGGTCCAAATAGAGTCCCTGAAGCTGAGATAAATTGCCTAGACTCTGAGGAATCTCTCCGCTGAATTTGTTGGAATAAAGGCTTACATGCTGCAATTGTGTCAACTGCCCAATTTTTCCTGAAATGGTTCCGTTGAAGCTATTATGAGGAAGGTACAAATCAACCAATTTCGTCCAATTGGAGACCAGAGAAGGAAGGATTTGACCAATAAATAGATTATTAGCTAAATGCAATTCAACGAGGTTTTTCAGATTGGACAAGGACAGAGGCAGTTCCCCATTGAGTTTATTGGAAGACAGGGACAAGTAGGTGAGGTTTGTGCAAAGACCAAGCTCAGAAGGGATAGAAGAGTTTAAGGAGTTGGCTGAAAGATCAAGGGACTGGAGATCCCTGAGTTTGCCTATAGAGGGTGGAATTTTCCCTTCCAGAAGATTCCCACTTAGGTCAATATGTTGAAGACCAGAAATCAAACCTATATTGTCCGGAATTGGGCCAGAGTTTAAGGAGTTGTACGAAAGATCAAGGAACTGGAGATCCCTGAGTTTGCCTATAGAGGGTGGAATTTTCCCTTCCAGAAGATTCCCACTCAGGTCAATATGTTGAAGACCAGAAATCAAACCTATATTGTCCGGAATTGGGCCAGAGAATTGGTTATCACTGTAGTAAAGACCGTTGTTGCCAAAGTCCAAAATTGTGAGGCCGGAGAGATTTCCAATGGCAGATGGTATGGGCCCTCGGAAATAGTTGCCACTCAAGTTGAAGTGGGTGAGATTTGGAAATAGGGAAAAGTCGAAAAGAGCCAGTGTTCCGTTAATTTGCATATAGGAGAGCTGTATTTCGGAGACCGTTCTGGTTTTGGTGCAGACAATGGCAGTCCAGTTGCAGAGGCTGTTGAGGTTGGTGAGGGACCATGAATGGAGTAGCGATGGAGAAAAGCCAGCCTTCCATTTGATGAGCGATTCTGCTTGTTTTCGTGGAGATATTGGTGTCGTTTTGATCAGTGGCAATGCGAACAGCAGCAGGAGCATATAATGAAATGTCATGGTTTTGAGTTGCATGATGATCTGTTATTTTTTCCCTTTGTCCAAGGCACAAATAAATCGGAGCTAATAACAACTTTGGAGGTGCATGCAGAGTTTATGATCCTTTCTTGACGCTTGGAATTTCGCACATGACCATTAAAGGACGCGTGCCTTTAATCTTCTGCTGCCTCTGACTTCCAATAAGCTCAATGGATTGCCGCTGCCGGGCCCGCCGAAAGCTTCATTGGGTCGGCCGTTCCAAGAAGCTACCCGAAAGTATCAAGTCTTTGGTCCCTTTGGTCAACAATGATAATATACAGCATCATCATTAATTCATTAGTATCAAGTCTTTAAGTCTTTGGTCAACAATGATAATATACAGCATCATCATTAATTCGTTAGTATCAAGTCTTTAAGTCTTTGGTCAACAATGATAATATACAGCAGCATCATCAGAGAATCTTCTAGTTCCCTTTATATTTTTCAATTTTTGTTGTCCCTTTACCTTTGTCGAATGAATGCGAAATATTTGAAGCAGCATAAACTCTCCGATAATGTATTTACCAGTCCAATCTTGCCTTCAGTGATCTCCAATTGGAGTCTAGTTGTCCATTTGAATCTTCGACGCAATAGCTTCAGTGGGAATATTCCACCTGAGCTTGGGCAGTTGACAGATTTGAATTATCTAAGCCTAGACTCTAATTATTTTGGTGGGGGACTTCCTAGTCAAATTGGAAATCTAAACTTGCTATACACACTAAACGTGAGCAGGAACCATTTGACAAGAGTGATCCTTCAGAGTATCGGCAATTTCACTTAGATTCAATTTCTCAATTTTTCTGATAACAATTTGGCAAGAGCGATCCCTCAGAGTATCGGCAATCTCACTCCGATTCGGTTTCTCAATTTGTTTAGTAATTATCTGACAGGAGTGATCCCTTTGAGTACGGGCAATTTCACTCAGATTGAGTCTCTCGATTTGTCTAATAACAATTTGACATGAGTGATTGGCAGTTTCACTGAGATTCAGTATCTCAATTTGTCTAATAACAATTTAACAAGAGTGATCCCTCAGAGTATTGGCAATATCATTAGATTCGGTATCTCAATTTGGCTAATAACTATATGACGGGGGTAATGCCACCTGATCACGGCATGTTTGACACTCTACAGTTTTGTTACCAAATGGATTTTAGCAGCAATTTACTCTCGGGAGCAACATCTTCAAACTTGGGCGAGCTCACAGGATTAGAGATTTTCAATATATCACACAACCATCTCTCAAGGGAAATCCCATCAGAATTTTTTAACATGGATAGACTAACCATCTATGACTTTCTTATGACAACCTCACAAGGTCAATTCCAACTTGTGGCATTTTCCAAAATGCACCAGCTGATGCTTTTGTCGGAAACTATGGCATGTGGAGAGATGCAAGGGGAAAGGCTCCATGTGATGCCGGGCCCGCCGAAAGCTTCATTGGGTCGGCCATTCCGAGAAGCTACCCGAAAGTACAAGTTTTTCTGAATTTCCTATGTTTTTTTTTTGTCGCAAGGTTATTCTGTTTTTCATTTACTTTTTATTATATGCATATGTTTGTGGTTCCTGAATTTTGAATTTCCATGGGCATTTGGCAAATTTGTCCATTTCATTAGCCAATTGGCTAATTTTGTCGGGCCTGAAAATGTTTACAAATTTGTCCATTTGAATTTCTAGTTAATTAATTTGATTAATTGTTACTTGGAAGGTATTGCAAGTGTTTTGGTGAAGACATGACCAACTCGGTTCACTTGCTGCTCTGCTGCTTGCTTTATTTGAAAATCACTCATCAGAACATTTGTTGTACTCTTCTAGATATTCTTTTCTTTTTCGATTACGCATTATGTTTTTTTTTATTACATGTGACACATTTCCATGCCTTAATCCACACGCTTGACGTTGACGCCTGATATTTATGCGTCAACTCCACACTTGACCAAGACATCCTTCACAACAGTCCACGCACGCTGAGACTGGACTTTGTTCAGTCTGTGCACAAGGCTAGGGCCAGGGGACAGCTCTTGATTGAGTTGAAAAATCCTTTCCGAATTTCCAAGCGTAAGGAAAGGATTAGAAAATCTGTGCCTCCGAAATTTCAGAGAGTTTACACTAGGTTGCATGGACACTCCAAAACTTCGAAGTGTCGTTGTGTTTTTAGTCTTCCACTAGGTTGTACGGACATTCTAAAACCCGAAGTGTCGGACACGGTCAAGATACAGTAGTAGGGGCATTTTTTAGCTTCATTTGGTCGGCCGCTCCGAGGAGCTACCAGAAAGTACAGGTTTTTTCGAATTTCTTTTGTTATATGCATTATGCATATGTTTGTGGTTCTTGAATTTTGAATTTCCATGGGCATTTAGCAAATTTGTCCATTTCATAAGCCAATTGGCTAATTTTGTCGAGTCTGAAACTGTTTACAAATTTGTCCATTCGAATTTCTAGTTAATTAATTTGATTAATTGTTACTTGAAGGTATTGCAAGTGTTTTGGTGAAGACATGATCAACTCGGTTCACTTGCTGCTCTGCTGCTTGCTCTATTTGAAAATCACTCGTCAGAACATATGCTGTACTGTTCTAGATATTCTTTTCTTTTTCGATTATGTATTGTGTTTTTCGTGTTCCCATGTGACACGTTTCCATACCTCAACCCACACGCTTGACGTTGACGCCTGATATTTATTCGTCAACTCCACACTTGTCCAAGACATCCTTCACAGTCCACGCACTCTGGGACTGGTCTTTGTTCAGATGGCTGGGGCCAGGGGACAGCTCTTGATTGAGTTGAAATATCCTTTCGAAATTTCCAAGCGTAAATAAAGGATTAGAAAATCTGTCCCCGGGAAATTTCAGAGAGTTTTGGCTAGGTTGCACGGATATTCTGAAATTTCGAAGTGTTGTGTATTTTTAATCTTCTGAAGTTTAGGCTAGGTTGCACTTTAAAATCCGAAGTGTCGATGTGTCAAACACTCTGATACGCCACACGGATTGGACACGATCAAGACACAGCAGGGGCATTTCTTTGTAAATTTAGAAAATATTTTGATCAGGAAACATCGGAACATTTGGGACAATTTGAAAATACGAACACTAAAGCCTAAAATCAACCCGACCTAACCTAACTTGATTCTCTAATCTGCGCCTTCCCTCCATTTCTCTTCTCCCTCTCTTCCCATCTTCCTCTCTACGGCCTTCACTCGAGTTGCATTCTATTTTAATTGGAGGTGAGTGGTTCATGCTTCACTCACCCTCTTTATTTATAAATGATGTCAGGCTTAGTTTTTAAAATTTGTTGGTTTTTTAATTTGTTATTGGGCATAAATATATCTTTTCTTGTTTTAATTACTATACTTGTGTTGTTTTAATTATTAAGTTTGTGTTAATTTAGCTAATATGTATAAAGGTTCTAAAAAATGCTAGGCATTAGTTGGGTGGACGGTTAGGGCCTAGCGCTTAAACAACCAGGCCTAGGTGGACTAGGCAGATTTAAGTAAATTTATTATATATTGTATAAATAAGTACCTATTTATAGTTAAAAAACACATAATTATACTGACCTACATAAATTGCAAAATAAAATGTCGTATAGATTATAAAGTATTAGAACACACTTAGGACATGAGGAACAAACACATAATGAGTGTTCTTCCAAGTCTCCTACATTTTATTGACAAAATAAAATGCAAAGAGAAAGTTATTGATTTTCTATCTAAGTGAGAGTCGGACCTAGACGAGTTTAGGCGGGTGCCTAGGTGGACATCTAAGCGGGTCTAGGCGCACTTTCTTAATTTTCAAATGCCTAGTGGCTAATCGGGGCAGTGGCTAGCCGCCTAGCGCCTAGGTGGTTCTAGGTGGAGATTTTTAAAACAATGATATGTATAATGAATGAATGTGACGAACACGATTGTTTTGTTATATTATGATTCGCATTATTACTTCTAATATACGTTATATTAATTATAAATTTATTATATTTTAATCGCAGTGTTTTAGCGGTGTCTGTGTCCTATTTTTAAGATTTGTCGTGTCGCTGTATCCGTGTCTGTGTTTGTGCAACCTAGAGTTTATATTTCGTTACGGAACTGAAAAAAATATGTTAACTGAGATTAACTGAATATAACAAACCATGGGTTCTACCTGAGATTTTCGTCAATTTAAATACGCGGCAAGACATAAGATCCAGAATGAGACCTAAAACCAATACCCAATCTTGCAACCTACGTTGGATAAATTATTTACATAATTTAAATAAATTTAATGGGAGACTTGAGTTTGAGTGCATTATATATTTCACATGCAAAATACGGTGAAGTTGATCAATACGTAAAAAGTCTTGGTCTATGAATTGATGATCAATTTTCTTATCAAAGTTTTGCTTTAAAAAATAAGTAACCAAATGCACATCTTTATCGAATCAAACAAACAATAACAAGATTCAAAAAGTAGCTGAAATTCAGCATATTAGAGCAGACAGAAAATGATGAGCAAAATGATGAATGAGAAAACTAGCCCGGTCTTCCACTCAAGAATATTAGTATTTTAAGTTTATATTATTCGGATAGTTTTGGTATTTTGGGAGGGTAGTGACGGCGAGGGGGCTTAATTTGTGCCTCGCGCAGATAATTGGGAAGATCTCAGGAGACCCGGGTTCGGAGATCTAGGAAATCTGCAGTTGGATTTTGGGTGGGTGAACGAGGGTGGTGACGGGCAGGGATGTCAAAAGGAAGGGGTGCACTTGGGTTAGGGTGGTGGTTTTAAAAATCATAGTCTTTTCAGATTCGGAAGGAGTGGATAGTCTTGACTTGCTACCAGTCGTCTTCTTTTGTCATCAATTGTCTCCCTTTGTCACCAGTTATCTCCCTTTTTAAACAAAAAGAATCATAAAAGACGAAAATTATGCGTTCACAAAACATGAAGACCATTTGTGAAAATTAATGTATGGTAATGGTTGTGTTACTAAGAGAAAAGAAATTCATTTTAATGGGTGTACAATAATTATTTAAATAAGAGGTTTGAATGAAAAGCTCTTTCAAAATTTAATTTTTAATCAAAATGACATTTTTAGTATGAAAAGTTCAGAATAGGTCAAGTTCTCTTTTTTATCTACTCTTATATCATTATTTCATTCATCATGGCGGGTCCTGCAGATATGTTTATACTTTTGTCTGAAACTTGAAGTATTGTAAGTAGCTTTGCATGGTGCTACGGTGAAATATTCTTCACTTGTATTATTGTGTTGCTTTTTCAACTTTGTTTATCTGCTGCCAGCTCTTTTGTGCCTTTCTCATGTTATCGACGTTGTGTTGTTCCTTTTCTGTCATATTGTTCTAGTATTGATCATCTCCTTCTTCTAACTCTACTTCTATTAGACTATCTTCTTTGATCTGCAATAGGTTAATGCA